ATTTATTAGTGAACATTAAAATCTAATTAATTCATACTATATTCGCAATAACTAATTGACTAAAAACCTTATATAATACAATAATATTAGATGATAACATACACTAAACAAAAAATACATAATAAAATACAACCATTGGTACAGGTATGTCTATTCCTTGTCTAACCCTAAATCTTTGAGATCTTTTTGTTCAAGATCATTAATGTGCTGATAGACCTTGTTCACGTAGTTAACCTGCCTCTCCTCCATCACTATGAGCCACTCCCGGACCGTGAGTGTGGCCTCCGGTTTGCCTAAGTTAGCGAAATAGCAGTTATTGTTGCGCTTGTGTTCATCCCAGGGGTCGTCCGACTCCTGCCAGCCGTCCAGCTCTTTGAAGCAACAGAAACATCGGACACAATCGTCTCCACTATCGTCGTTGCACTGATAGAAACCGCAGGAACTCATCTTCTCTTTAGTACAGTTGCCGGCAGTGATGGGCCAACCCTTATATGTGGTCAACCGGTTGGCCTCCGTAACCATATTCTTGTCGATTAATTCAAATAGTCTTGTGACCTTTTTGGCCGACATTTTACGGACACAAGTATTTGGCGAACAATTTTATAGTAATATTATATTTACTTGTTTAATGAAATAAATATTTAAACTTAAGTGTTATTTATTTGGTGTTAAAATTTGAAGTTTAGTGTAACCCTAAGAAACAATTGATAAACACTATAGTAATACTGATAAGATTCTGTACCATACATTTATGAGTACTTGAATTTTATAAGACTTTACAAAATGATTTACAACTTAATTAAAGGTTTACTATCAATAACTTATTTTATTAATCAGTGAAAAGGTATCAAAGAATAATAGATTAGCCGAACGTTTTCGATCTACACTGACATCAACTTCAAGACTTAAGAGATGGTAACAGATATTGATTTAGTGTTAAATAATGACTTTCATTATATGATAATGATTTAAAACTTTTCATTGTCATAAAAAGTTAGTTCAAAAAGTATATACTATTACATGCACAATTATAATTTCTAGGAAATAAATAGTAGCATATGATTTAAATACAATTTATTGAATGGACTATGAGGATTTTGGTTTAAATATTTAAAGTTTTGTCAATATAATTGTTAATTTGAGATATTTCCAAGTAGTGCTATTTCACTAACTTGAGAAATAAATATAAAATTTGCAAATAAGTACAAATTGAAACTTATTTATTATCAATATGAATACAGCCATTAGGGTTTAAACATGGAAAACTTATACAATGTTTTGAACACACATTTCATATCTCATAAAAATGTGGAAACGAGTGAATCGCTTATGTTCTCACTTATAAGACTGAACACAGTATTTGAGCATTAGGTTTGACTTTATTGCTCTCATCTAATAGTTGTATCAATACTTATAGACGAGAGTGGAGTGAAAATATAATATTGCACATAAAACTTACATAATATGAGTTAAATGCAAAATATTTGCATTCAAATGCATTTTGCCTATGCAAACAGCCTATGCGTATGTATTATATATTGAGCCAAAATGATTTCATATACTTTATTACATATTTGTGTCATCTCTTAATATATTTAAGAAAAAAA